CTGAGAGAGAACAACATTGATGTTTCTACTTCAAATTGAGATGAGAGACAAGGAATTATGGTATTACATTTTATTCTTGATCTACTGTAATTCAAAATGGGTGATAATTTTGGATCATCTATGGTAAACCACCTCTCTGTGTCATTTACTGTATCTGTAGAAAGGAGGTAGTAAAATACCTAAGCAACTCTCAAAAATACTCTGAAATAAACCTTTAAAAAGACAGCCTGGTTTTCTATTACTTTCTGTTACAGCTGAGTTAAGTTACAGTATTTTTCTTCAATGACTGATTTTAATTAAAAGCAAATAATCACTCATTAAGAAAAATATTTTTTTTCTTACTATATCTGTAATTTCTTCACTTGCCTATCTAAAATGTTCTTTGCTTTCATAACTGAAGTATTTGTGCATGCTGCCACCATTTCATGACCAGCAGCTAGACTAGATGACTTCAAGATATCTCTTTCAAGCAACATCACTAACCTGAGAAGATGAATTACCTGTAATATTCCAAGTCCCACAAATATTGATATAACAGAGATAACAACAAAATGCTATGCTGCAATGCAGAGCAGTGAAACAAAGCATTTTAATCAGGTAAAGAGTTAAAACTAATTTTTATTTCTTTGCAATGAGCTCCAGCTGAAGTGCTAGCAGGCTGCCCACCCCAGATGTGGGGAAGATTAAATGCTGCAGGTACAGGGCTCGTGCAACAGAGAAGTAGCTGCAGCTGAAAACTGATCTGGAAAGGGATTACATCTGACAGCTTCACACATTAAAACACAACAAAAACGGGGAAACAACACTGTCCAAAAAAGGTTGCCAAGGATCGTCCATCTGCAAGTGGGCCATAAGTGCAAGTAACAGATATAACAGTCAGTACAATCTGATAAAAAAGAAATAACTTACCCAGGGCACAAGGGAGATGATTGTCCAAATGTCACAAAAATAAAAACCTGTTCATCCAGGTTTAGCTTCACATCTGCTAGTGTCCTGTCCTATAGCACTGCAATCTATTGTTTAATTCTAGGTTAAAATGAAGTAATCTAAATATGCAGGCTGTTATATAAAAGGGCCAGGGGATGAAATTACACCAGTTTCTAATAAGGCCCTTTGAAACCCTAAACTAGCAAGTTAGCAGCCAAATTGTTCTTCTACTAACACAGACTGAATAGAAAATGACAACTAAAAGATACAAAATAAAGAGTGTAAACCTGTAGTCCTCAAAATCCTAAATGTGTCTGCTATACCGAAGCACAGCAGAGGACTATTCAGGTGCTAAAAAATTATAGTTTTATTTATCATTTCCAAGATCAATCTTGAAAACTTTTGTCTCCTTATCACTAGACTCTTCATGAATACAAGATCTGTAAAATTTCCTTTGCTTATATTTCAAAACAAATAGAACTTATAACATCTGTCCATGTAAGACCAATTGATGTGGTTTTAAGTATTCTTTCACTTGGTAAGTAGCAGCCTGCACCTGGTGACAAACCTCACACCAGAAAATGAAAAGGACCATTTGGTTATTTTCTTCTATCTGTGCAATACCTGTCTTACTATTTTCCTCTTTTTCACTCAGAATACTATTAATGGACCCTTCCCGTAAATTAAAAGAAAATCCCATGCATGGATGAACAAATACATTCTGCGTCTGAACTGGAAAGGAAAAGAGAGTTGTGAGCTTTTTTGGACACACACCCACCCTAGAAAGTATAGTAGCATGCTAGGCCTCATCCCAGACTGCTCCATGCCAGCTGCAAGGATCCACTGGATCTCAGCTGCACCTGATGGATCTCAGCTCATCTCTGCATCAGCTAGTAAATTGTGTCATTCTCCTGCTGGTCTTCAAAATACAGCTATTCACCTATTCAGCTGTGAGTAGAGACAGTACAATAAACACTACTCTGATTCTGACTCATTTTCTCGCGGAATGATCTTCATTAAGTCTTGATTCCCTCACCTCTGCCAACCAGGAAATGGCAAAGGAGAGGGGGCACAAGAGGTTTCCCAATACAGAGGCTCTACAGGACAATTAGGCAAGTAGACTGACTTCTGGTCAAAAACAGGAAAATCAAATAAATTACTGACATAATGTGTATGTGTATATATATACATACATACATATATATATATATATATATATATATATATATAACATCTAATCAAACTGGCAGCTCAGAAAACAGCAGCTGCTCAATTCAGTCAAACACAACTCTTCAGAGGCTCTGAGAACAAGGGAGCACAGATTTCTGAAGCAGTGTGTGGTCATGCAGTCATTGCACTGAGACAAAAGGGGATGAATTTATTACCCATGTGGCAACAGGGATGCTGTGGAATTGCTCTTAGGTATGATGATATAAGTTTCACCTAACTAATATGCTTTCAGGATAGGAATCACAGAACCAATAATTTCTTATTGGTGTATATTTTGAGTTAAAATAATCATAGCGATCTAAAACTTACAGAGAAAACTGTCAGAATAAAAGCTACACTACATATCATGCTTCAGGAGGATGATCTACTCTCAAAAGTTAGAATAATTTCCTTTCTTTAAATAAAAACCTGAAAATTATTCTTGTTCACTATACCAAGGAACTGTGCCTGTCTTCTTTTCCCAAGGATGAAAGATTCTTTAACAGAATTCCCAGGGAAATTATTCCAATGAAGGAACCTTTCTCTACAGAAAACTCAAACACACCATGCAAAAGCAAACACCTTCTAACCCATCTCAGCTGCAGAGAAAGGCAGACTTTAAAGTAATCAAGGACCAAACTATTCAAAGCCTAGGTACCAGCACAGATTTGAACACAGGTCTCACACTTATTCACACAACCTAATACACATGCAACAGAGGCTAGATCCTTATGCTCCATGAATTTTCATGATCTAAATATTATTCATTTAACTCCCAAAAGAAATTTTGAGGCTGGAGTGAAGTACTTACGCTCCCTGAACACACCAAGAATTAGAAATCCTGCCTGATGGGCAGAAACTGCCCAGAGCCAACCAGTATAAAACACATTAACCAGTACAAAAGAGCACAGCTGCACTTCAAGCAGATACATCTGGTACCTTCTTAGAGTTTAAACCACCAAAGCCTCCTCCTTCCTGGGATCTCTAGACCACAGACATGCCCTGTGCCTTTTAAGGAGCTGAGACAGAGATGCTATTTTCTTTTTTGAAAACTGGCTAAGTGAGGAGTTTAACTGTGATGCAACAGTGAAATGGCTTTTGAAGTTGGGAAATTAAGGCTTAGTGCCTGCTCTAGGCAGACAAGCCTCACACAATTCCCAGGACTGTGCCCAAGCTCTAGGTGAGATTTTAGTCTCAGTGCCCACCTGGATACAGGGAATTATGAAACGGCTCTCCCACACACTACCTTCAAGTTCTGACACTGTTAGTGAAGAGTAAGAAGAATAAACTCGTCTTGAATCATGACTTTCTGTGACACTAGCATAAAGGCAGCAAATCCTACCTTCATATGCAACACAGCACAGATTTCACCTCAATTTGCAATCTGCAGACCATTTTCACATGTAGCATAAAGCTATGCAGGAATTATGAGAATTATAGAGAGATTATACCATGATGGGGTAGTAAAATTGCTTCTAAAATATGCATTTTTCAGGCATCCAGTGCTGCAAAAACATTTTAACTAATATGGAAAGATGTTTTTTCCAGTAAGCTAAACTGGCTCATCTACCTCCTATTAATAACTACACCATGAATACTCCACAGAAAAAGTGTTTCACAGACTGCAAGAGATGAACTTCTGCCTAATCTTTTATGACCTTTATAAAACTTTATTAAATTATGAAGCCATGTAGCCTTTACAGGCTCTAAAGTTTTGCTTGGGAACATTTTAAATACATAAATATGTGCAGCTGTCCCAAGTAGTGCCACTATGGGGACTTAAGACACTGTTAAGACTTTCCAGTCCTGTACCATTTAAAATCAGTAATAAAACTCTAGTCCAAGATAAAGTCTCAGATAGGAGCTACCCAGCCAGGAGCAAAGTACTCCTTATTAAAGAAAATTATTGACATTTTAGAAACACTGCAACTCTTCCCACTTACTTGCACTTGTGTTACCATGAAAGTCTCTTATACATATACAAACAGGTTTATTGATGGAGGTCTGTGGGTAACCTCCTTCAGCACATCAGAAATAGAAATACTAAATCCCTTTGTTCATCTTTAGTACACTAAGTCCAAGCTGAGAATCGTAGGGACCATGGTACTGGCAAAATGTGTCCCTGTTGTGAGCAGTAAGAAACAACAGAAAATTAGGATGCTAAGAAGCCCAATACATTAGATGGCAAGCCCAGAGAGTTTTGAATTTGCTCAGAGCCTGCTGTGTCCTCAGAACTGCAGTCTGGTGGTGAGGAGATCTGAAGATGATATCCTTAAAGGCAAGGAAAAATAAGAAAGGAAAAACGAGAAGAAATGTCCACCTCATTTTTCCCAGAAATGTCATCAGTGAAAAGAAGAATCTGTCTCTGACATGGGACAGGGGGATAGACTACCAATTCTCACAATCCCCTTGAAATCCAAGAGAATCCTGAAAAAAATGTCAACTGTATATCATCCGCCACAGTCTGACCATTTGAAATATTTTGTTTCTGTTTTTTGTAACCCTTGAATTGGAAAAACTGACAGACCACTATGGAGATACATTTTAATGCAATTATTTGAACAAGGCATATCACTGTCCATGTTTATAACATTTTATTCTTCCAATGCAGCTTAATTATATCCCTCTAACAACTGTAGTTCTGCAAAATCTTACATAACAAAGACCTTGTTCCTTTCAACAGGGAAAAAAGATTAAAACCACTTGTACCATTTAATGTACAAACTAAAATGTTTAAAACTAAGAGCTTGAAAGATTTCCCCAGATCTTACTATAATTTTTAAATCCAAAGGAAAATCCTTTCACGCAACTTGGTTGAACAGATTTCAATTTTTTCCATTCAATTTAGCAACATTTGTACTTACGGACTGTTCACTTAGATCCTGAGAGTCTTCCATTGAGGTTATTCACCTTTCTTTTCCTCCACAAGCAGAAAATTATCTTCCTTTCAATTTACAGCTTAGTAGTCTAAATTAAAAGAGAAGATTAAAAAACAACATGTTAGTCTATGTCCTCACTTCTAAGACAAATCTGCAATAAACAAACACCCTAACTAAGGTTGTAGTTTCACTAAAACCTGAAGCAAAGTTCTCATATAAAGACTGTTTTCATGTAAAGTGCTTCAACACTTTCAGTATTATTTTGGGAACTATCTAAAATATACCAACAGAAACAGGGACTTTTCTTTGGCTCCTTCAAGAGAAAAAATAGCTCTGAAAACAAACCAATAAAGAAGCTAAAATGTTGAATACAGGCAGCTGTTTAAGTAGTCAACTAATGATAACCCTTGAGAGAACATCTTAGAAAGACAGTTATAGAACAGAACTGCTTAATACACATTTAATGATAACCTCTTAGCCATTAAGTGTCTGGCATAAAAATAGGTTATTATGCAATTATCAGCATGAAGTCCCCTCTCTAAGGTTCATTAAATTCCTTTAGGATTAAATTAAATACACAAAGTGGTTTATAACAAGCGGCTCCCTACAAAGTGCTAAATGGCAGACATTATCCTAATTATCTGCTATGTCTATACCTTCTCTAATAGGGTGAATCATTCTCATGAAATATGGAGATCTTCAATAGGAAAATTCTATTTTCCAGGAGTTCAGCCTCTGAATGATCATGGTAACCCTAACTATAAAGCCACACGGTTATATTACAATCTGCATCCTTAGAAAAGATCCATTCTGGACTTATGCAAATTTGCACAATTTAGAACAAAAAAAATGTGACAGGGATATTTAATATATGCAATACCATATTATTAACAAAAGCTCATGTTACATTAAAAAACAAAACAATATGCAAACACATATGTCAAGGAATCCAAACATATTGGATTTGCTTATCAATATTACCTAGAGTTGTTTATCAAGAAGGCACTACAAGGAATAACCTGGGACTATGCTCTATAATATAAACATATTATGGATCTCTGTTTTAAATTCTGACTAGCAAGCACTAATAAATGCAACAAGGGTAAAAAACTGTACAGCTGGATTGGCATTTGCCGAATATTTGAAAGGAACCAGAGTTATGGAACCCATGTGGAACAAGTCATGGCACCCACATATTCTCACCCACTGCCCTGCATTGCCCTGTGAATACCTCCTCTCTAAATCTCAAGTGTCACTTTCTTGCCATTCCTCCACTTACTCCCCAAAATGTAACTCCCAAAAATTCATTTTGTTTTGCACTGGATATTTTCTAGAACACACAAAAATGCACAGCCCCAGTCTATTTTGCTTTCAAGTTTCACCTGGATTTTTCCTGTCACCAAATGACACCCTCCTGTCTTTCTTCCCTCTTGCCTAAGTTTCAAAATTATTTTCGTTCACATTTCACTAATTTTTGCCATGATGTTACATAAGGAAAAGACAAATTTCAAGAAAACCATGTTACATGTATTTCACCACATCATATAGCTGAAAATAATTCATGCTTTTCAAAATGGTTTTAATCTCCTCTCTGTTTCAGAGGGATCCAAGACATTAATGTCTTCCCCCACAATGCCTTCACCAAAACTGTAATCACTTCCCATGATTTTTTTGGTCAATGCGGAGCCCACACTCCTGTATTTGTAAATATCTTCTCCAGTCTTTGTTCAATGAAGCTAAAAGAGGAATTGAAGGGCTTCTTTAAAACACCCACTACAAGCAATTTTCAGAAAGGAGCCTTCCATGAATAATGGATATTTTAAGAGAAAGCAGCTCTACATGGCATTGCCTGCAGCAGTCCCAACCAAAGGAGGCAACTGAAAACACAGAGACGATTCTGACTAAAAAAAAATATTCCATTAGTAACTTGAACATGAAATCTGCTTTGATTTAATGAAAAGTTTGTAGTATGTTCATGTTATTTCACTGGTAAGATTACTCTCAGAAAAAAATGGTCAAAATAAAAAATGTTTAGGAGATTATTTTACTAGTTTCTAGGTATACTGACTAAAAAGTCAGTACCTGGCTTGCATTCGAACAGCAAATGTCCTAATTCTGTCAGTCAGTCACCGAAGGTGGCAGATACTTCACTTTCTGTATGAAACTCAACGATAACTCAACTACAGAGCTACACCAGCACATACAGACCCATATTTCTTTCCCTATTGATGGATGCTTAATCAAAGCACTCTGAGATCAATCAATGGATGTCACATTTTTCCCAAAATAAACCCAGTGTATCAAAATTTTAAATACATCCCAATGACACAAATCCAACAGGAGTTTTACTAAGAACTGCCAATGATTCACCCACAGTACGTGTTGTGTCCCAAAATTCAGATGGGTGTATTCACTGGAATACGTCATTAAATAAGCCACTTGTATTAGTCGCCCTCTAAAAAAGACTTAACTTTCATGAATTTTCAAAGTTACTTTACTGAATTGCAAGACAAAGACAAGCTTCTTTAAATCTTTGTAGAAATACAAAATATGTTTAATACATCATTTGCAAAAACATGCTAAATTATAAGTTTCCATGGAACTGCTGTTCATCTTTACACTGCCTCAAAATTCACAAGTTCTTACTGGAAATGGAGCTTTTTGAAATAAAATTCAGAAATAATATTTTATCAGTATTACTCTACCTATCAACAGCTAAATTCTACTTCATTCTCAGCCCAGTTAAAGCAGCTGATTATAACCAACTGCTAACACAAAGATTTTTATAATGGCAGTTATGCCAATTGCACTTAGACCAAATCCTTTAGGGTTTAGTTTTATAAATTTGTAAAAGGGGAGAAAAACCATTAGAGAAGTCAGTGATTTAAATAAGACCAACATTACTCCCTAATAAAGATATAAAATTAAAGGATAATAGTAACCTCGTGCTGTTTTATGAGGCAATAATCCAGTTACCAATTCAACCTTGTAGTTTATTCCATCAAGAGAACCAGATTAAAAACAGAGGGAGGGAGGGCACTTTTATCCCTATTATATTGCAAGTGTTTCTAACTGGGTTTAAATATTTTTAAAACTGTTGTTAAAAGTCTTAAACTCACAGACAAGCCAGAATGAAGAAAAATGCCTGTTTCTCCTCTTAATCCACTCCTTGCAGATGTGGCTTTAAAACTGATGAAGTGTTTTATGCTCCCAGATAAAAATTTACCTTTCTAAGAAATTTCTTAATTAGGAGGATTCCTGACTTTCCTCATCAACAAATGCACTTAAATCTAATTTTTTTATTTATTTGTTTTTATCTGGGGGAATAAAACACTTCATCAAATTTAAACTGCAACTTCCAGGACTTGACCATGAGGAGAAACATGTGTTTCCTTCCAGAGATATACCCATAAGTTAAAGAAAATAAACTACTTGCAGATCTGCTGCACACTGCTTTATAAATTACTGAAAATGTAATGCAATTTCATTTTCTATGGGACGTCTGCTATGATCCTGGGCTGCAACTTCCACAAGCTCAAGATAGAAAGTGAAGCTTGTGGACCCACAGGTAAAAACCAGCCTTAAAGCACTTGACATTTCCCAAGAGTATCTCAGAGGCTGCTTCAGGCCCTCCAGTTGACCAGACAAGGATGTGGATCTCCCAGAAGAATCCATCATCTGGAAGAGGAGTTTGGCCATCAGACAAAAAATCTCCCCCATTTCACTTCAACAAAAAAAAAACTGGGAAGAACGTCCTCTCTTTGGCCACTAGGAGTTGGTCTTCTGAAATGAAATTCAGGGGCAGGGGGAGCATTACCCTCAGTTTCTACCACATTTTTTTCGCATTATAATCATCTTGGGCACATTTTCACATTCATTTTATTCTGTTTTATCTAAAGAACACCTACTTCTACTGAGATTGTATCACATGATGCTCCCTAGTTCTTCTGGGCTTGTATCATGTCATGGTCTGGCAATATAGTTCAGAAATTTCATGATCCCAGACAAATACGCTATACTGTTTTACACGTTTTGAAATGTGTCGGTAATAACCCTAGCAGAAGGATGCTGCTGTGGTTTACACAATTCATTCAGCCATGAAAAAGAATTCATTTCTGTCACAGCCACAGGATGGGAGTCAAAATGTTAAGAGAGCAGTGGCTACAAATAGAGCAATTTCTCATTTTCTAGTGCTCCACTTCAGAAACCTGTGACAGGACTAGTACCTAGTGCTGATAGCTGCCACTGAATTAATGCAGGATGTGACCCTGTAAGTGAGGATGGGTCCAGGGCCCAAACTCTCACAGTCTCTCAGGCAAGTCTCACTTTGGGTTTGCACCACTCCTACAGAATATCTGAGTAGAATAAATCACATTCAAGACACTGTGAAAGATTAGGCAAGGCAGGTAATGAGAAAATTGCTTTAGAATCAGTACAAGAAACTTGTTCATACATACTGCAATCTCATTAAATTAGATTAATTCATGCTGTTTGTTTCTCATGAATCCCGTTTCTTTGAAGGAACAGGGGAAAGGGAATGGGCAGTAACAAACAGGCACTCCCTAATATTCAGTAATTTCCTACCTAGGAAAACATCCTTCTGGTTGTCTGTATGCCTACCATAGAAAGTCTCATGTGAAAAAGATAAAATATAAATGTGAAAAAGATAAAATACATTGAAAAAATAAAGTATCTTGAAAAATATTTTCAAAAAAATAAAATATCCTTTTAATTTCCTAAATTAAAATGAAACAAAATGTTGATTTATTAGAATTTCAACTTTGTCTGCCATACAAAGCCATCCTGAAAGTATGACCCTTTCAGGGACATGTATTCTTCCCTAAGAAAAACAGGCAAGTGAACAGAAATATATTCAGAATTTCTAAATTATTTTAATTCTCAAATTTTTTCTTCTCTTATTCCAGAAGGATTCTTGACGAAAGCAGAAATGGCTCAGGAATTTTGCATGTGTATTTAGGTTTTAGCTGAGGCCCTTTCCTTAGCTGTTGTCTACTATCTGATATCAATATGAGTGAAATGATCCTCCTGAAAAACTCCTGTATCATTATAGAAACAAATCTTGCTCCA